GCAGTCACTTTCTTTGGCCACACTGGGTCATTATTGGAGTTAAGTTTTAGCGACTCACTGAGCCCACACAAACCACGCAGTACCTGGCTTGATCCAAATCATGCTATTCATCCCACTAGATGTTCCCTACTCCGACATGGCTTACGTATCATGCAAGGACTATGGTAAGTGTACAACCCTAGATGCTTGTAGACAGTGTTTATACAAAAAGTATAATCAACTTTAGCCAAATTATCAATCCAATCAATAATAATCAGTGGTTAGAGAGGTTTCACTTCTCCCGTGAATTAGTTCCGGCTCTTAAAGAATACAACACTAAGTCGTTGTCTCTTTTATTCTTACCTATCAATCTTCGTACAAGTTTTCAATCCTACATTCAACACTATGATGTAGCCAAAGATCCTTTATTGTCTTAAAATTGGATCATTACCACCAATAGGACAGGACAGCTATGACTTGCCAAATTGAGCCTAGAATGAACGGAAGGAGTTAGAGAAGTTGGTTGCGAGCTTTATTGTGATAATTGTGCTTCAGAGTGGCCTTTTACTCGTGCATGATCCTAAATTTGGAGAATATATGTTAGAACGGAGGTATTATTCATGGCTTGATTGTATCCCTGAAAATGCTGCTACGACATTTTTTTGTTAAGAGATTTCATAAATAAATTCTCTCAAGTTTGCTAGGAACTTACCTAAATCCCTCCCTTTGATTTGCCACTCAAGGTGTGCCAGTGAGCATAGCTGATTATCAGTTTGACTCAATTGCCTCCATCTCTTCTTGAAGTAATTGTTGAAGAATGTGGAGCTATATATGCTACTTTAAAGTGCGCTTGTCTCAACTACCTTAAATTGTTGAGGATTAGTAGAACTTGAGGCCTCCCAAATCTCCAAGAATCTTTAATTCGAAAAATGGTGCCACTTGAAGTGTTGGAGATACACTCCTCCACTGACATGATGTACAAGATGGGATCGGTTTTCATTGGTTAAAGAAGATGAAGGCATTCTATCTTGCAGTGTTTAAGAATTGAGGTTAGAACAATGTAAAATCCTGAAGAAACAACCAAATGGATTAAAAGCTTCACAACTCTCAGGTATTTGAATGACGATGGTTGTCTTAATCTCAAGGTCTTTCTTGCAACTGGTTGCCAGTCAGCTGATGAATCGTAACCCACGATTCAAGGGTTTGCTTGTAACTCACAAGCGAGAGAACTACGTTGGTGTCGAAAGACCTTTAGCTTATTCAATAAATGGAACTAATGTTGAACTTACATGTATATAGGATAGAAAAACCTAATACTTTACCCAATACTACCCAAACTCCTCCTCCTACTTGGCTACCCCTACCCAAACGCAAAAGGAAAACAAACCCCAAAAGGAAAAAGACACCCGCACCCCACAACCCAAAAATTCCAAAAGCCCAATCCGAAAATAACCTCATTAATCATCCCCCATTGAAATAAAACTTGTCCCACAGGTTAACCTTCAATGTCTTCTTCCTCGAACAAGCGCATCACCTCAGCAGTACTGCACTTGTGCCCGATGGTGAACCGCTCATAGCATTTGAAGCATAACCCTTGACCCTACGAAGTTGTTGCTCCTCCCATATCATACACTTTCCACCCGGCGGCCCACGTGGTGGTCCTATACTCACTTGCAAAGCCGAGCTTGATGTTCTCGGCCCATATGCTACTCCTTCAGACCCCGTCGCTCCCGAGCTTGACGGCGGTGTCGCTTGGCCAGCTCGCTTATGGCATTGTAGTTGGTCACTCTTCATTCTCTCCAGACTGATAGCGTCACGCAGAGATTGTGGTGAAAACATCTTTATCTCGTCCCGTATCTCCGACTTCAAGTCGCCCAATTACGTGCCCCACCAATGCCTGTTGTGTCCACCCCACACATTGATTAGCCAACTTCTCAAACTCCCTCTGATAATCGCGCAAGGATCCAGTTTGATGAATCCACATCAGTGCCTCATCACAGCTCTCCCCTTCAGTCGGACCGAACCGCACTCAAAGCTCCTAGGAGAACAACTCACACGAGATTGGCTCACAAATGTCTTTGTAGATAAAAAATTTCCTCTGATACCTCCTTCTATTCAAAAAACTGCTTCGCGCATGGAAACCATGTTCCGGGATCTTCTCGTGCAAATTTTTGAAATTCCAACTAGCTATTTTAGCTAGGAAGGTCCCACCACCGCTACTTCGGAATCCTCAGTCACCGGTGGCCTTCCATTCGTACATCCCTCGGACGCTCGACCCGTCGCGGCGTACGCTGCCGCCCCCTTGGCTCTAGTTGAGCTCTTTTCTCCTTCCCTCTCGTCAGCGACCTCTTCTTCTCCACCAGCTTTGGACAGCGTGCCCTTGCCTTCCCGTCGTCATCCTATTCGCCAGCCAGTCCACCGCCGTCCTGGTGTCTTGCAACGCGGTTTGCAACTCCTCAACGGTTGCATCCAACGCGGAACAGCACATCGTTGTCGTGCCACCCATCCCTGTAGGATACGTAACCAGGCTCTTATACCAATTGATGAATCGTAACCCACGATTCAAGAGTTACTTGTAACTCACAAGCGAGAGAACAACGTTGGTGTCGAAAGACCTTTAGTTTATTATTCGATAAACATAAGTAATGTCTAACTTACATATATATGATAGAAAAACCTAATAATTTACCGAAGACTACCCGAACTCTTCCTCCTACTCGACTACCCCTACCAAAACGAAAAGGAAAACAAACCCCAAAAGGAAAATGACACCCGCACAAACGAACCAAAAATTCCAAAAGCCGAATCCGAAAATAACCTCATCATCAGTATAATATCCTTATGGATTAGAGATTGAAAGTTCCTAGAGTTTGCCCGTACAAATATATAGGCAGTAAATCGTTGAAAACACTTTGTTTGTTTATTGATTGGACTAATGCAGTAGCTACAAATATATAGGAGGTAAACCTATTACGTAACCTTAGCTAACGGGACCGGATCACCTCAGTAACCCTTCTATCAGTAACCGTCAGTAACTCCTTCCCCTGGCCCCCACGTGTCAGCTTTTTCTTTTTATTTAAAAAAAAACACGGAGGGGCACTAAGGTAAAACTGCACCCCCTATTTAATGTTGTCTCTGACGCGCTGACGCTGACGCGACGCGGATCCCACTCTCCACCCCACACTGGTTGTCTGGTTCCCCCTTTCTCTCACTCTTTGTTTTATTTTATTATTAAAAGAAAAAATATAATTATTTCTTCTCTCTCAACAAAAATGAATCTAACCATCCTAACTATCTCTAAACTAATTCCAGCTCAAATTGAATGATGATTTTTTCGTTAAATAATACATTGTTAAAGACACTAATTACAAGTATAAATATGATTATCACTTTCTACTATTATGATAAAACATGGTAAAATATGTTGAAGAAAATTACAATTCTAACTACCATACAATACCACATGGTAAAACGTGATAAAAACATGGTAAAATATGTTGAAGAAAATTATAAATCTAACTACCATACAATACCACATGGTATAACGTGGTAAAACATGCTACAGAGATATACAAATCTAATTACCATACCATATGGTATAACATGCTAAAATAAAATTATAAATCAAACTACCACCACATGGTATAACTTGGTAAACCACGCTACAGAAAATTATAAATCTAACTAGCATACAATACCACCATAGTAGAACATGGTAAATCAAAGGACCACAAATTAATTATAATTATCATATAATACCACATGGTATGAGAAGGTAAAACCATGTAAATCTTATTACAACCCTCTAAGAGCATAGTAAAAACATGATATTCATAAAAATACATTTCGTTACCATACATTACCATATGGTATAGACACATTACCATATGGTATAGTGTGGTAATCTCAATATATATATACAATTACGACTTTCTTCACTTTCTTCTCTCCCTTCATTGTCTTCTAACTCTTCTTTCTCGGAACTGGTGTCGATTACCACCCACTACCACCATGATAAAAAAACTCGTGACTATAAAAATACACTTAGTTAGCACACATTACCATATGGTATATTGTGGTAATATCAATATATATTCTCAAAGAAGGGGAAACAGAAGGAGGAAGAGGAAAAAAAATTCGTCTTCTGTCTCCTCTCATTTACTCCTTCGCAATGAAGAACACCGAATGCAAAAAGAACGAAAAAGAGGAAGAAGATCGGAATTAATTCACAAACAAATACTAAAACACAAAAGATGCAAATTCAACTCACCTAGATCTGTCCCCTCTTTGACAATATGGAGCATCATCGATTTTGAGGCCGAGAAAAGAAAAAAACAGAAGGAATGAGCAGCTTGAGAGTAGAAGGATTTGGAGCGTCACCGAATTTGAAGTGGGAGGCTGCAATTTCTTCATCGATTGTTGGAGAACAAAATGAAGAACAAGAGAAGAAAGGAGATTAGATCTGGAAAAAGAATTTTGGAAGAGAGAAAGAGAAAAGAGAGAGGAAGAGAGAAGTCTGTTTTTTTCTTTTTCCTCCATTAAAAGACAACACATATAAATGCTGTAACAAATAAAAAAAGGAAAGAAATCAAATTTCAAAAAATCGGACAAAAATGCCCCTCCTCACTCCGCGTGCAGCCCAGCAATATAATAATGTCATTCCTAGATCTACTATCCGGATTTAATACTGACAGGTCAGTAACCAATGGTTACTGACCCTATCTGTTGCCCTAGCTAACCCCCAAACCCTAATACCTACCCTGCTGATTCGGCTACACCAAATAAGACGACTCAACCTCAACTAGGTAACTCCAAGCCCATGAAACCTACACAAACCCACTAACACATTCAACCCATAACCACTCTCAGACAATACAAGCCACATGCACTACCAATCCCCAACTACGTAACCCGCTAACAATTAACCCATAACAATGAACAAAACACATAAACGTACTAATTAACCCCCTTAGCCCCAAACCCCTGTGCAGTGCGTCTCACACTTACAGCAGTAAGTTCACATTACAATCGCTAGATTCACTGGACAACTGGTTTGGCCATGTCACTTACTGGGAAATGGCAGAATATCCTTAGCTACAGAAGATGCCATAGGGAGGGTTGTCTGCATCTCTTGCATATATTTAACAGTTTCAGGTTGCCGGAACTTGAGTTGCCCACACCAGATCAGTTGCAAACCTCGACATCCATCCCATTCAAGAACCTGACGACTCTTAAGGGTTAGGAACTTGGCATAGGAATTAGGAACCGCAGAAGTCTTTCACAGGTATATCCGGTACATGGGGACTCCACAGGCTTACATCTCCCAAACAAGTCAAGCTCAGTACAAACATGGTTTCTTTTGCCGACGAGAATGGTTTGTTGCTTCCTTCTCTGCTGAACTTGCTTGGAATTCTTAGTTTGAACCAACCTGAAAGGTACCTCCATGGACCTGTGTGGATCTGGAACTGTCCTAAACTCGAGTCCTTGCCGAAAACACTTGGATTGCTGGCCTGCCCTATCTTGAAGAGGGAAGGGTTTATATGCCTTCATATCTGGAAACATAAGATCGTCCAAAAATATAGGAATATAAAGCAAATTTGCTGAGCGCTATCTTATAGATTAATTATTCTCCAACCAGAAAAGAAGGGAAGATAGTAGCACCTAGCTAGTCAGAAACCAACTGGTAAATACAATATAGCAATATGGCACAAGTCGAGCAAGATATTAACTGAGCTAAGAAGACGATCAACTACTCATTCCTACGGCTAAAGAAGACGACTAGTGTAATCGCTCTGGCGCAGGGTGGGTGGGCACCTTCAGATGCTCTATCCATTGGCCACAACAAACCCAGTTGACAATATCCGACCATATGTGCCTAAACGCTCCTCCTTCCAAACCCGCAAGAATCAAGAATCAAAAGGCTGTAAAACGTCAACATAAGAACCAACAACAAAAGAACACCAACCAAAAAAGACATCTATTATCAATTCTACCAAGGAAAAACCGACAAACCACCCAAGATCAGGAACAAGTTCATGAAATGTGCTGATTCTATCCCTTGCTAAACAAGTCCAGTCTATACTTGGGACACGAAAAATTTTCAGTTTGCAGTCACTCCAGGAAATTGCCTAGTGTGTCTTCACAAGGGACAACTTACACCAAGAAAGCATCACATCACTGCAATCTAAACTCGGAGTCTGAAAACCCTAAGTTTCTCTCCCTTTTTCCTTTTGTCCTCGTTTTTAACTTCTTACACCTGCTCCCTGCCTAGTCTTGATCATACGCTTCAGGGTCGCTAACCAGAAGTTACATTCGTCCCACTCGCTAGTTGTGAGCATCACCTGTTCCACAACACAGCAATGAGTAATGTACCAATCATACCAATTCATTCTGAGGTTTCATCTTCTTACCAATAAATAGTGCATTCAAGCATAAAAACAAATGACTACACCTTCTCCACAAGTGCCTAGGTACTTACCTGAATTTGCAGGGCAGTGCTGAAGTCACCTTTGTCCAACGCCTGACACAGCTGAATAAGCTTGTCGGAAGCATTTTTCGAAATATCACCACTGTTGAGTTTAGCAAACAAAGCACCAATTTTCTTTGAATTATCTTCTATTTCTCTCTTCTTAGCTGGGTTTGCCCGTGAACCACCCAAAGCTTCCGATGTCTCATTAAAAAGTCTTGTCAATGTTGCAGCAACAGGTTTATGGTGCGCTGCACCACGTAGAGGCAAAGAAAGCATATCCATATTTGGTAAATCATGTCTAAGCACAGAATCATGTCTAATCACAGCGACAGCAAGCATCAAATCTAAGCACAGAATCATGTCTAATCTTAAACTTTTCCTTCTTTCTTCCATTGAAAAATCAGAAGAAAAAAAATCTAGTTATTACCAGGAATTTTTGAAGTATCAACTGTCTGTACAGTAGGAGGTGGAGCAACTGGTGCCACAGCTGGTTGCACAGATGCTGACTGGCTAGGAGTGGATGGTTGCAATGAATTGATGCTCGGTCTGTGAACAGAGTTTGCTACAGGTCTAAATCCCACAGGAGTTGATGTTGGGGCCACAACATTTGGCATTCCCATAGGAGCTCCAACTGGGGCTTGAGGAGCAGGAGACTGTACAGGTTGGAATCCCGGATTTGAAGCCCCCTACAGAAGCAAACATGACAACAGATAACAAAGTTAGCAAATGAACAACAAATATATGGAGTATAATGACTTGATATCTTGCAAATATATACACACAGGATACAACTGAGATCCCAACGTTGGCTGCTGCTGGTACTGGTCTGCATTTCTAACGATTGGAACATTTGAAGGAACAAATGTCCTAACAGCTTGTTGACTACTCGGAGGAGGCGGAGCGAAATTTGCCTACAAGAGAAAGAGAAGGGCTCAAATTGGTTCGCCGAGCAACCACATAGCATGATGAGTAACTTCGCATAAAAAATAGTTATGTTTTATTACCTGAGGCATCTGAGGTGCCTGAGACGGAACAAACATTTGAGAAGGTGCAGCAGGCTGGTAAGGACTGCCCTGGGAAGCAGGTTGATATGTTGCAGTTCCATATCCTCTTCCATAAGAAGTCTGCTGGTAATTTTCTCCATATGCGGCAGCAGTAACACCATGCTGCTGCAAGTGTGATGGTGCTGTTTCCTACATAACAAAAAGCATACCATCAGGGTTTGATAAAGGCGTAATAATGTGTCAAAAGATATTGCACCACAGTACCAAAGGTCTGTAAAATCACCGGATAAAACGAATGAGATGTGTCAGCAGCGCTGAAACTGGGCCGTTCGCTCTGAAATTGTGTGTTCTCATAAGCTGCAGCTGCATGTTCTTCTGCAGTGCGCCAATTAAAAGCTTTGTGTTAGATCAGCTCAGACATCGCTTCCACTGCTAGGCATTGGCAAAACCTAATACTGAAACTAGTGCTTGTTATTGCAAACTACAATGAGGGCAGCTCTAGAGCACCATTTAGGACCTTCCCTCACTTAGAAAAAAGGGACTAGGATAACTAAATGAAAAACTGCAGTGATGCCTAAATGTAGTTAGCGTGAAGAAAGAAAATAAAAGAGATTCAGCTTGGACAAAACAAAAACATGCCAACATGCCATCATATAGTTGAATAAGGTTGAAGATAACTTATTAGCAGAAGAACCATACCAGGCTCTGTAGAAAGTGAGATACGATCTCTTAAGACAACAAGTTCAGGAGACAAATCATCAGATCCCAGGAGTTTCAGGTATTCCATAGCAGTCGTTAAAAGCCCCTGACTTGCCAAAATCTCGGCATATTTCTCAACAAGCTTGCACAGAGATGGACTAAAGCGCTTTTGTCCACTTGCCAGAGCAAAGACAATAGTCTTCTCCATCAAATCCTAAGAAATTAAAACGATGAATCACAATAAAGAAGTAAAGCCATCAAATACTTTCTGTGCCTTCTATTAATTCCAAGAATACCTGTAGCAGGTCAACGTAGGTTTTTCCTTCACTGTCACATGACAAATTTCGTGACCAAATTTCAACCGTCTTGTCTATGTTCCCCGCACATATATAACAAAGAGTCGCAGCCAAAGTATTACCAGCAGACATTAGTTTGGAAGCAAGCACATCACACAGCATACTCCATTCCTCATTTTGGGCAAACTGAAAATAAATAGTGGCAAGCAACATCAGATATGTATGTATGTATTTATGTATCTATCTATCTATCTATCTATCTATCCATGTTTAGAAGTATAGATAAACACATAACTAAAGTGCTACATCAGCGAAGTGCCTGGATTGAAAACTTACTGTGCAAAGAAGGGCAAGTGTTTCTTTCCAATATTTCAGAGGCCTTGTGTTTACTAGGCTCAAGAGATCGTTGTTTACCATTGCAGAAACAATCTGCAAAATGGAATTGGTAAAATATGAAGCAAGGTCCTTCAAGTATTAAATCATGTCACTACAAATTGTATTGGTGAGGGAAGAGCTGTATGCAGACAACGAGCAGCGACTGATAAATGGACTACCTTCATGTACGGTGACCGGTTCAGTTTAAGACACTGATCACGTGTTTTCTCCCACAAGGTAGGTCCACCAAGATGTGCAATAAGCAAAGCATCATCCCTCTTATTTGCAGAAATGCACTGTGCAACTGCCCCCTTATAGTCTCCCACAACCAAAGAATGCTGAATACAATCATCAAATGATGGGTCAGCATTCTCTTCCAGTCCATCAAGCTCTTGTCTGGTTTCTTCAGCATTGTGAGGAGAAGTGGCCTCCACAGACGATGAAACAGGTGTATCAACCTTTGGGCTTGGAAGATTGTTGAAGAAATCTTCGCCATCATCTCCAGCAAACATGACAGACTCTTTCTCTTTCTCATACCCCACTTTGTCTGTTGCAACATCGGCCAGCTGAAGTGTACTGATCTCCTGGCTAAGATCATCAACTACTGCAGGCTTCTCTTCAACAGGTAAACTAAAACCAAGGTGGTTGAGCATCTTTGACCTTGCAGTCCCATCTTCTTCAAACATAACCTTGAGGAATCCCCAGGTCTGTTGGTCCTCCTCGGATCTGCTAGGACAAATAATGTAACAGGAAAAAATTAATAGGTCAATCTACCTGCACAAGAAAAGTTTTAAACACTAAAACAACCTATGTAAAACAAGTAGAGAGGAGAGGAAGGACTGGCATACTCGGACTCTTTTGATTTTCTTTCACATAATGACTTCAAGGACGATTTCTCCCCATTGTTGATTGCAGCTTCAAATTCAGATGACCGACTCACTAAAGATTGTTCCGTCACCAGGTTGTGTAAAAGCACCTGGAACCAAACAGGGCTTAATCAGAACAGGAATCGAGGAAAGTGTCATCACACAGCATTCTCCTAAGTAACCCTCACCTCTGAATCCCCTGAAGTGGACTTGGGATGAAATGACACAAGCTTTCCTCCAAAGCCAAAGGAAACTCCCGCGGGCCGTTTATACCACTTTGGGGCTCTAAGTGGCACTGCTGATAATGGGTTAGAAGATGAATGTGGTTCAATTTTAAAGCAGAAATATAAACTAAAGAACTATGCAAAGAATCCTAAAGACAGCTTATAAGCTGTCATGAGTCCCTACCCTACTTGATCTCATAGCAATTATTTAAACCTACCCAGCCATAGGTTAGCATACATGTCTAGCATCCCATTCATTAAAGTTAAATATGCCATAGAACCAAAGAAAAACCTTCATTTTCAACTTCACTCTCATACCACAGAGAAAAGATAGCATTTATAAGTTAAACACAGACAGAAAAAGTCTCAAACCATCAGAACTTGAAGCTTCTAATCAAGAATCAAACAGATCTTTCGATACAACCAGCTCAAGCCCAGAACTAAAATATTTAACATTAATCAACTTCAACCATCCATCCCTCACCAGCTACTGAGGGCATGTGATCTGACAGATGGATCTACAGGTAAGATCATTGTGCTGAAATAAGAAAGTTACCTGCTCCAAAATCAGTCTCTTCGATCCCATAATGGCTACATCCCTGTGAATAATACATGACAAATGTTTAGAACGATTCTGGTTGAAAAGGGAAGGATATATGCTGGTTGTGGTGGGATAAATTATTCTCGGTCATCATACTTAACCATTTCAGAAACTACTAGTATATAAGCATTATAACAACAAACAATGACATCTTTGAATCAAACAAGAATCGTTAATAGCTTAAAGTTTTACAGAGATGTGACCGCAGCAGAAACCAGTAGGAAGAAGACGATAGCCTTGCCAGAAGATGAAACAAATACTGACCTCAATATTGTAAAGCCCAATCTTTCCATCAAAAGAAGATGCTGCTATTACTCCTGGGATTTTAGGGTACCAATGGACATCAAAGTTCCAATTGTTCCCTGAGGGCAATTCACAAACAATCTGTTGCAGCAGCAAGCGCAGAGTTTATCAACAGCTCAGTAAACAACGTCAAAATTTGAAAGAACGTACTGACAAGCACCAGCATGAGATTTATTAATCATCCCCCTTACCTTTCCAGTGACAGTGTTCCAGCAGATAGTTCGATTATCTTTGCCACAAGTAAGCAGATAGGAGCTGTCACTGGGACACCATGCCATAGCAATTACACCTGATGAATATAACATAGCAAAAAGTATGGAACTGGTGATTTAAAAAGTTATATCAATACGACGTAACATAATGGAAGTTCTTTGGTAATAGTAAAAACAGAAAGGCAAGAGAATAGCAAGAATTCAAACTTAAGGAGGTCGTTGTTCAAAACTATTTGCAGATGCCAGCACCCCATCCAGATACCAAAGGAAGAAAGTTACCCACCAGGCCACAACATAATTGTACTGTTTATGGTGGCACACGATATCATTCTCAAGCACCAATTTTTCCACACACTAAGTCACAGCATATGACCCTGACTAAATACCATGACTGAAGCTCAAAACTTCGTCCCTCTAGATGTATGTAAACTTCTAAAGCTCATAGATTTTCAAGCAGCAAAGGGAAGAAACGTTACCTTTGGTGTGACCAACCAACTCGTTGACTGGTTTCAGAGTGTTCCGCATATCCCAAAGCTGTTTAGAAACAGGAACATTATTCAAATAGTTATACAGACACTAATAGTATGAATTATTACCCTTAAAAGCGTCGTGCAGAAAAGAGGTAGGTATTAACAGCAATGATTACCCTTAAAGCAGGAGAACTGTCATCATCTGATGCAACAAATAGCTGAGTGGCAACATCAGGGTGCCACTGCAGAACAGAGCATCGTCTACTCGTTGAATCCGAGACACTGTCAAATTGAAGAAGATGCATTGTTAGAACATGGTAATAGAAAAGATGTATTTAGTGACTCGGTTTTTCTTGCAATGTGTGACCAAATCCAGCAGAACTTACGATATAACTGGTTTTTGCTTCTTCAAGTCCCAAACAACTACAAAACAAAGACATACTGAGAAATAAATCCAAACCAGGACAATGAAACAAACCACGCGGGTGATCCAAAGTCTCTTCTCACCAGTGTTTCCATTATGTGAAGTAGATGCTAATATATGCTGGACCTTGCTATTCCAAGATACATAAGAAATTTCACCTTGCAAAGAAGAGCCCGAACCCTGCACAACAGGAATGCAGAATAACAATCAGTGGTCGCCACTACAACAACGACACATGGATAATTTGTGTTAAAAACCGCAATAGTACACAGGACAAAACTAATCATCTAGAGCTCCCACAAGCATGCAGACAACTATAATCCAGCTCAGAAGCTGCTAACCCGTGCATGGGACCTCCGAATAATGTAGCAAATGTAAGCCAAGGACATAGAAGTAAAAACTGCTGGTGACCACACATGAACTTAAAAAGGAAGGCAAAGGACAAAAGAAAACCATATCCATCCACCAGTTTCAATATCACAGAGCATTTCTATGTCAATACTTCCCTTTGGGGATCAGGGAACATAATAATTAGGAAATGATGGGATAAAGTTACAGCTGAACAGAAGCTTAAAGCAACCACAACTGTACCTTGAGAGGTGGGAAATGGGAAGGTTCCCCTGGGGAGGCCAAATCCCATATGCAAACCTCACCGTCATCAGCACCCGATGCAAGTAAATTTGGGGTGAAGGAATTAAATTCAAGGCCACGCACCTGAAATGTGACAGAAAATGGTATGCCTGTCATGAAACCATCACATACTCGAGAGAAACACAAGCACAACATAGCATTTCATCTGGCTTGGAACTTACAGGGCCTTTATGATTTGCAAGACTAGCAACAAAAGCTCCTTCATTTGGCTCACCCCTGGCAAAGCCATCAAGCAGAGCAGAGACATGAATTATATGAAAGTACAAAGCATGTATATTCGCAAATATCACTATAAGCGAGATAGCTGAACAGCAAATCAGAAAGGGAAGTATCCCATAGTGAGAATAGATCAGTAGTCATTCCAATTGAACATATATATTCTTTTAGCATACCAACAAACAAGTTCTATTCAGAAAGAATGTGATAGTAGATAATCCCTCTACTAGCATTCTCAGACTGCCAGAAAGCACAGATAGTCAAATACAATATCAAATTCATGTAAAAGGAAAAGTAACCAAAGGCAGGAGAACTCCTTGGTAGCACAAAGGATAGAGGAAATAGAAGTCAACAAGTCAAAAGTGTATCACTCCTATACTCCTTCACACATGTATTTAGTACTACTTTTCATGACATGGTCAACCTTACAAAGCACCTGCCTCCCTCCACACTGTCCCGCGACTGTTTCTTCTCTACCCAGCTCAAGAAATGGACGAACCAAAAAAAAGGGATGAATCTATCATGTATAGATTCGCAAGATTGCTCCGATAGACCATCACGGCTACCTGTAACTATAAAAGATAGCGTCTACACTCCCAGAACTTGGCTAGGATTATGAATTCAAAAACTTACACGAATTAACAAACGTCATTTGTTCCTAGTTCATCCAAAATGAACCAAAACTTTCAATTATGCATCGGCTATTTTATGACGAATCTTATTCCCAACGATCAGAAGCAGTTGACTCCGAACACAGCGGATTAGCAAATTACAAGCTTCATCCCATACATTAAAGAAACCATTAGAAATGTTTTCACCCTGCATAATAATTTAATTAACTAAATACATCGGCAGATAAGTTAATTCAGCTGAATCAAACAGATTATATCAGCACAAACGGGAGTCAATTATTATGAAGGAACAGATCTCAGCGGAATATGCAAAGTGCCTAGAATCAGTGACAAATCTCAATCCAAGAATCACCAGTTCCGGCTCAATCCAACATGAACACGCAAGAGAAAGCCAATTTTACCGGATCAACGCTGAAGGATTCCAGATGCCAATGCTGCCATCCACATGCCCACCAGCAATGAATCCAAGATCATACTGCTCGGAACTGGATCCATTTTTCCCCCAGGCGAGACGGTTAAATCTCTCGGGGCTCTGCGACTCGCCGACCACAGGGAGATCACAATCATCAGATTGAAAATCGAGCTTGAAAATCTCGATGCTGGCGGACGAGCTAAAGGACAGATCCACCGCGCCGGCCATCGTTCCGGCGGCCATATACGGAGCGTCCGGCGCCAGCGCCACCGACGCCGATCTGTTCACCCACTTGATACACGCCATAACGGAATCAAAAGAAAGAACCGTGAGTTACTGAAATCTACGAATTGTCCACAGCTCGGAAACGCCTGGCACCACACCCAATTTCCCAGACGTTGAAGCGCCTCCGAATCTGCTCTGCTCGTATCCAAGATGGAAAGAATCTCGAAATGCGCTCAGATTCAAGATGAAATTGGGGAATTAGGGATTAATCTCTCCTTGTCCTATTTCTCTCCCTCTCCCCCTCCGCAATCTTTCCTTCCTCTTCTCCCCTTTTTCCTTGTATGCGTTTGCGTCTGTGTGATATGAAAGAAATATTGGTGCGAGTTTGTACGACGGTGAATATAATTTTACTTTTTTTTTCGTTTAAATATAATTTTACTTCTTTATCCTTTTTTTATTTTCAGTTTTTTTTTTAATAAAAAGATCACTATGTCGTTCCCTATAGAGAGCCAAGCACCGAAATCAAATCCAATATACAAGAAATAAAGAGAGGATTTTTCTAAGTAGAGGGATTAGTATTGAAAAGTCGCTTCTTCTTGTTCATGAATCCCCCTTTTCCCAAATTCAAGCGGTGGTTTGGATGCAGGATTTTAATTTGAGAGATTTGAGCTCAAATCTCTTGTTTTAAAAACCTAGGTTTTCTACATCAGGAATTTTAATGAAATAACTTGTTTGGACGTAAACCTAGGATTTTAATATAAGAATTGAAAATACAATATTGTCCTCCTTCCCATCTTCCTCTTCCTCTTCCTCTGCCAACGTTGCTCTCCTTTCTCCACCAGACGATCGAACCACCAAAATTGACAAAACCCACCAGATTGATGGGATGCTGCGGTAAAATATCACCAAAACCCAATTGAAAAATGAAAGAATAACACAATCAGGATCAAGTTTTCGCATACTAGGCAGAATGGAAAACTTTTGCAAGGAAGAATATCACCAACCTGCAAGATTTAGGTGGAGCCAGTGACCAATCCATAGAAGACCCGGTGACCTCGTCATCCAGCGTCCTTCAGGGCCGTTGGCCTCGCCAGTCCTCATCAATCGGCATCCTCGCCATTTGTCGACATCATCTTTGGAAATGGAGGAAACAGAGGTCGATATGTGCGCGACCGTAACCTGTGCAACATCGGGGAGATTGAGCGATTTCCGAGTTTCCAACTGCTCACGTGGACCTGGGAGACTTCAAGGAGAGAGGTCGACGGCGAGATTGGGCGACATCAGGGAGAGAGAGCGACGGCGGCAAGGTTTGACCGGCGGTGAGGATGGGTGAAGAGAACGAAGAGGGTGTGTTGTGGGTGAAGGATAAGTTTGGAATAAATAAATAAAAAATAAGGGATTTCAAAATAGCTGACCTTCATCAGCTATTTCACAATCCCACATATGTAGGTTTTTAAAATCCCTAATAATCACAATTCTTAGGTTTCCCAAACGTGTTATTTGATTAAAATCCCTCATTGTGTGGGATTGTTTTAAAATCCTGCACCACAATCCTACCACATTCCCTCATCCAAACGACCCCCAAGTGTTTGGGAATTTACAAACTTCGACACGACAAGGCCTCTCTTGCTCTCAATATGCGAAGTGAACAAAGGGCTCTATTTGTGAAGAGACAGTCAACAAAGTGGAAGAAGTCCTGAGCCCAGCGTCGCCGGGAAAGAAGAAGGTGGAGAAGCTCGCGTTCTACCGACCGCCGTCGGTACTCTCGGCGGAATCGGGAACGGAATCTCTCGCAGCCGGTCATGACGATCATATTCGGGGATCTGATTAATCCGTTCGGTCTCATCTCTGAAGCTTGCAAGGAATCCTCTCCGTTGTCCCCGACCAGATCCGCCACCTCCACACCACCCACACCCCTTCCTTCCTGGGACTCACCCCCTCCTCCCCTCTCTCCCCCAACTCCGCCAACGGGGACGGTGTTATCATCGGCGTCCTCGACACCGGGATCTGGCCCCTCCATCCCAGCTTTGATGACTCCGCCTTCGCCGACAAAATCCCTGCCAAGTGGCGCGGAATATGCGAGACCGGCAAAGACTTCCCCGCCGCGGCTTACAATCGGAAGTTTTCTTCCGAGCGCACGAAGTTTGCTTCCGATGATGCGAATCCCGACGGCCGGCAGTTACACTTTAGGAGGCTTCATTTTTGGCGTCCGACGGTTACAATTCCAGAGCAACGGTTACAAATCCAGAGGCAATTCCAACTGCGATCCGTTTCAGATATGCTTGTTCTTTCTCTTTCCTCCCTAATTTTAATATTTATTTATTTCCAGAAATATAATTCTAAAATCTTTTAATTTTATTTTCCTTAACTGCTCGTATATATAAACTTTTCATTAACTTTACTTTAAAAAAAAGTAATAAAAAATGTTTTTCTTTTGACCTTGTTAGCTTTTGATTCGGAGTATCCGACTAAGCGTCAATGGCTTGTTTAAGTCCATTCGGTGGAGCTTAGTTGTCCTCGAGTATGGGCGCTTGTGTGTTTGTTTGTTTTTGCAGGGGCACATAGTTTTCCCTTGACCATACAAGCATCCATCCATTATGATTCAATCTCGTGATATGGCGCATGTGACAGGTGGAGCGATCTTGGAAGAGATTTGTTTGGCGTCTGTGTCTTTTAATTTCTTTATTTGTACTTTTACGCAGCGGTTGTACAACAGGGCTACCCACTTAGTGGCTTCTAATGCCCTTTCATTGACAGCTCGATATTGTGTTGACTGTCGCGTCTGGTTTTCTAGCGTCCTGTAATATCTATTTCATTCCCGATCTATGGCAAAAAAAGAGAGAGAGAGAGAGAGAGGATTTTTCTATCCACATTGTGGGCTACTTTATTGTTGTACCTGCCACTTCTTTATCCTTTTTTATTTTCATTTTTTTAACAAAAAGATCACTATGTCGTTCCCTGCAGAGAGCCAAGCACCAAAATCAAATCCAATACACTATACAAGAAATAAAGAGAGATATTTTCTATCCACATTGTGGGCTACTTTATTGTTGTACCTGCCAACAAACCGAAACTCCACATCCGGAAATTGAACCACTAGCCTGCGAATATCATCATAACGAACACCGAATTTACGTGGTTTCCCTGAGAATCAGGACTAGTCCACGGGAGAGGCAGCACTCTCCAGAGTTAATCTTATTCAGCTTATCTTTATACAGGGTACATAGAGAGGTATATATATGTTAAGGTTGCAGCACAAGAGCAACCCTAATCCTACTTAGTTATGGTAACTCATGTAATAGAGAAAATTACATAAAGCTACCTAAACTAAGAATCAACATAATTTCAACACCCTCCCTCAAATTGATGATACTTATGCAACATCAATTTGTTAGACAGAAACCAATGACGGATGGTACCAACTGCCTTTGTCAACAAATCTGCAGTCTGATCTTCTATTGACAAATAACTAAGCTGAATGACCCCTTCAGTCACGAGTTGCCTGATATAATGAACATGTGTCTCAATGTGCTTCGTCCGATCGTGTAAAACATGATTAGTAACTATTTGAATAGCACTTGTATTATATGCAATTAACTTCATAGGCATACTGCAATCGACGCCTAGTTCTCCTATGAGCCGCTGCAACCAAACAAGTTCTGAACTGACTTCTGACATCGACTTGTACTCCACCTCTATCGATGACTTTGAGACCCGATCCTGTTTCTTACACCTCCATTATATAAATGAATTCCCGAACCTGACACACCACCCTGAAGTTGACCGTCTTGTGTCAATACAACCAGCAAAGTCAGCATCAGCAAATGCCTCCAACACAAGTTCACCTTTAACCGGGAAGAAAAGACCAACATCCTGTGTATTTTGTAAATAACGCAGGATTCTATGCACACTGTATTTGCATCTCCTTTAGTATAACCAAGAGGTCGATCCATGTAGATGGTTTCTTTCAGATCTCTATGCAGAAATGCATTTTTGACATCCAGCTATACAAGGGGCCAGTCTCGCATAGCAGCTACCGCCAGGACACATCGGACTGTCAGAATCTTTGCAACATGTGCAAATGTTTCTTCATAATCAATGCCAAACTCCTGACTGAACCCTTGTGCTACTACCCTCGCCTTATTTCTCTCTTAAGCGTACCATCTGGCTTCATCTTCACATTATATACCCATTTACTTCCAACCACTGACATCTCGGGAGTACGCTGGACCAGATCCCAAGTCTGGTTAGCCTCTAAAGCATCTACCTCTTTGACCATCGCTGCATCCCATTCTAGAATGCCACAGGCTTGCCGGTAATTAGCTTGTACAAAGATACGCTCTATAGAGTAGCCTACGTAGTCACTATGGCGCAAAGGGGGCTGACCTTTTGTTAGACGAGTGGAGCGCCAAAGTGGGTGCAGCTCCTCATCCCCGTCAGACTCATCATGCGTAGAAGTCGACGCCATAGAGTTGCTGGATGTAGAGGATTGTCTCGAAAAAGAGTGTGAGGACGAACCCGAGGAGGAAGAATAGGTAGTTGACCCGCCTTGAGGAGACAAAAGCGAATCCGACGATGACAAGCCAGATGAGTCAGATGAGGAGCTCGTCGATGTGGAAGTGGAGGAGGACGGCTCACTGTCACTATCCCCCCCTTCCGGCGGGAGACGAGGCGAGGAGAAGGAAGATAGAAATGCCAAACTCTGTTCAAAGTCAGCCCTGGCCGAGGAGTCCTTGACGGAATAATACGAGATGTTCTCCATAAACAAAACATGACAAGAAATATGAAGACGACGACCAACTGGATCATAGCACAGATAACCCTTGTACCGATCACTATATCCAACAAACACGCAACGAACTGTCTTGTGGGCAAGTTTATGGCGGTCTTTCCTCGGTAATAAAACAAAGCAGAGACAACCAAAAACCCGAAGACGATCATATTTCGGGTGACGCTGGAAGAGCTTATAGAATAGAGAATGACCATCCAAGATAGGAGTGACCTGTCGGTTGATCAAGTGCACTACCGTGTTAGCAGCCTCGACCCAAAAATGTGCAGGAACTCCATAGCGAAATAGAAGAGCACGAGTGAGCTCAAGAACATGATGGTTCTTGCGCTCCACTAACCCATTCTGCTATGAGACCCCGGGACAGGACTGTTGTGAGAGAATACCAACATATTTGTAGAAGTTAAGAAGATCATTCGAGCTAAATTCCCCTCCCGGATCTGAGCGAATGATCTTGATCGTCTTCTGAAACTGAGTCTGAACCATCTGAACAAAATCCTGAGCATGTGACCGAAGTTCCGATTAATTTTTGAGAAAATATATCCAAGTGTAACGACTATAG